ACAGTGTAACAATGGGAACGGTGAGGATCATGTGACAGTGCCACACAGTGTAACAATGGGAACGGTGAGACTAAAGACTCCCAATGAATGAGGTTGGCACGGGCACTCCGTGGGCAAGGCGCAGCGGTGTGAGGAACTGCAATGTCAGCTGGTTTCTAGCCGTCTCCACAACTTAGAAAACAGCGAATGAAGAACAGAGCTGCCGGCCAATAACTGAGAGAGGGAACAAAACTATCGAGAGCGTTCTTCAAAACGTCTCCTCGCTCAGTGGCATCGTTTGGGAAAGAGGAATGGAAATCTGACCAGCAGGCAGTCCGCTTCCCATCCTGGATAGGAGTAATTGCAACAGGAGCTCAGCAACTGAGTCCTCACGCCCCGTCCAGGGACAGTGCCGCTTCTACACCAACGCTGGCCTCAGGCAGAGCTCTCTCTGCTTTTTCCAACTACTCTTTCCAGGCAATTCTTAATGGGCCAAGTGTTTGTTGTTAAATGTTCAGTAGTGAGGCCTGAAACTGGGTCAACTCCATTCCGGAGTGGCCGCAGAGTCTGTCAGAGCTTGGAGGAAGGGATGAGTCCGGAGTCTATAACAACACCAACCTCACCACCCCACCCCACCCCCGCCTCCCAATCCCCCAAGAAATCTCAGCCTGAACGAGGTTACAGAGCAAACCCCAAACTGGGACTGTAACTGACTGCCACAGCCAAGCACAGAAGTAAAAATGTGTAGGCTCCAAACAAATTACATTTCCTTTATCTTCTGACATTGCTGTGAGATGTTTTTAGTTCAGTTCATTTGATTATATTTTTGCCAGAGGGTAGATATTAAAAATACACCGAAGATGGGATAATCTAGTGAAACTACAGCGCTAATATCACCAATCAGAACCTAATGGGAAGGACAGAGCTTTCTGGGTTTTGTTTTAAACAGACAAGATCGGAGAAGAGTACGTTTTTTTCTCTCAAAGTAAGCAGTATTTTTTGTGTAAACTTTTCTTCACAAATACTCGTGAAATCGAAGCCACAAAATATAAATAAGCCTGATTTCTGCTTTTGGCGGACAGCGAGAACAAAAAACTGAGGAAGTGTTCTCTGAGTAGGAAGGGTAGGAATCTTCGCTTTAGTTAAAACTAGAGGGTTAATTACTGCTCCCCTAAGCAGTACGTAGCTATAACGTTTTGTGTGCAAATACACTGTAAATACACTGTGCAGGATTTTAACCAGTTTTAATTTGAAAACATGTGGGAATGAAACGCTCCTTCAGAGTTGGAATTCGGTGCAAAATTTGAACCTCTTCTTCAAAACAAATTCCTGCATATCCGTGGAACATAATGCACAAGTAATCCCACTGAATCTGAAATCACTCGTTTAGGAATATTGTCCATCTCCTTGTGATTCGGGGAATGTGAGGAAACTGATGTATTTTCCAGGTACTCCCCCCCCCCCCCCCCCCCCCCCCCCCCACCAAGTTTTGAAGCGGTCAGTTTCTCCCACTGCAACTGTCCCACAAGTTTTCACACTCAATAAGAAATGAAGGTGCTAGTCCTGACAATAACCTTACGATGTAATTGCTCAGGCAGCGCTCTGTCACTCCCAGGTATCTACAAACAATATATAACTATACACTTTTTTTCCGCAAATACCCTGCGTCTGTGCAGTATTTCAACCGGTTTAATTTGGAAACGTGTGTGAATGAGATTCTTGTTCAGAGTCTGAACATCGAAGAGTTTATCTGCATGATCTTTTTTAAACGACAAGCACAGAGATAGAGAGAAAACAGATTTATCAGATTTTGAGAGCTGGGACTACCCCATGGGTTCTGCACATCTTGCTAATTTACCTCTTGCTTTTAAAAATGCTGCGACCCTCTAATGTTTTTGGGGTGTGAGGAGTAAATGTATTTTTAAATATCACGATGTGGGAGCGGCGAGGGGTGGGGGAGAGCGGTTTGTGCTTAAAAGTGCTGGCGAGGGGGTCCTGTCTCCGTGTGGGACCGCAATCAAATGAGAATGAGCGGTCAGCGAGACCAGCTGCCTCTCTCGCTGTTTCTCGTCCCGTTCACCAAGGGGAAGCAGTAAATGTCAGGGATTCCCTGTGATCACTAAGATCCCTCCATTCCCCCACTCCCCTCACACCCTCAGCAACTGCCTTTCCTCCAAAACAAAACCCTCCCCAAATCTCAAAGCGGCGGGACGGAGCTAGTACCGCGTTCCCAAGGCGCCGGCTCCTTTCTGCAGCGTCTACCCGAATCGAGTGCGCTCTGGCCGGCCGCCCGCGCGACACGCTCCCGCCCTCCCTTCTTCATCTTTAAACCGAGCCGCTGCTACAGATAGAGTCTGAGAACAACTCACTCACCCCACCCCAGGAGTCTACACTTCCTTTAACAAAAAACAAATCCAAAAACAAAGTTACCGATTGCCAAATTCCACCTCGTTTTTCAGTTAAAAGTGTTAAGCAAGATAGATGCGGAACTGAGAAAAATGCTTTATCTGCCGAAGTTCATACAGAATCGGCCCCACAGCGGCCACAGTTGCTAGCTTCAGTCTTAACCAAGCGAAAGGCAAAATTCTACCCCTTTCTCTGTCTCTCTCTGCACACCCCTATATTACAAACACCACTGTCTCAAATACCATTTAGCTCAGCGGCAACCACTTGTATTATTTAATTTTTAAAAAATGAAGCCTCGTCTACAGCAATGTCCTGAAGGAAACAAGATGTAAAACGACCACGAGAAGGTGTGAGAAAAATATAACCGGGTCAACTTTACAACCATCAGTCCACACACACACACACACACACACACACACAGAGAGAGAGACACACGCACACACATACACACACACACGACAGAAAAACCACCATGCATTCTGTAAGCTACAATACATAATGTCACATATTCTTTCTGACTGAGATTCAAAGCGCTCTTGACAATATGCGAATAACCAGCAGGCACACAGCTACGGTAGGTATTCCGTGTTCCCCCAAGCAGTACTGAACTCTGTCCGTACCTGATCTGTGATATTAACTGACGACGACCTAGTGATCTCCTCGTTGTCCGATTTGGAACCGCCTTCTCTCTCATCAATAACTAGGTCAATGGGCATTTTTCCTTTCAAGCAGCTGATGTACCGGTGGCAAAAATTGTCACACAATTCGTGCACCTACAATTGGACGACGATGAGAAAATAATGAAGAACAATACGCTAAAAAATACATACTTCTTTCTCAAAAAAACAAAAAAATAAATTATAACACTCTGGTAGAAGCGACAAGTCTGGCTCAGGTCTGTGTGACGCGAGGTTCCCAATAGTTGGAAGCACTTGCGAATTTCCCCCCAGAGACACACGCATCAAGAATTTGGAATAACCAACAAAATAGAGATATCGGTACAAAATTGACAGTGACAAGATGATTCACAGCTACAACGCATTCAACACCCGTGTTAAATTTGCCTGCTCCCGGGGCTGTACCCATTAGATGTCCGACCCGCATGAATGACATTTAAGGTAAACAGTTTAATTTCGTCTCGTTATTTCATTATAAACTCTGAACAATTCCGAGAAAAAGGGGATGTGTAGGATTTGAGTGCGGCACAGATAAGCACTGCTCAGGTCTTCAACAAGTAAATATGTCTTGGGAGATTCCAGCCATGGTAAACTACAATGCTCACACTTCTTGTCACACCCCACCCCCCTCAGAAATACCAGCTCGATTTGTCTTTTAGATTTGATTAAAATATTCCTCGCAGACTAACAGGACAAAATATTATGATTTCCCGTCTAATGAGTCAGAATCAGCAGATTGTTGACAACTTTAGATCATTTATAACGTGTGGGCTCAATGGGGAGAAGGGTGGGGGGGGGGAGAGAGAGAAAGAGGATTTATGTTTTTGTTTTAAAAATGGAGCTGATCAAAATTAAATCCCACAGCGAGATTAAAATGAACAAAACGGCGGGGCGTTTGTGGTCAGGGGTTTTAGTGGAATGAATTGTAATGAAAGAGCAAGAGAAATGTGAGGCAGGATTGGCTTTGACAGTAATTGCAAAGAAGCCAGAGCAAGACGCACATGCAAATACTGGTCGCACCGAGTACTAATGTCTAATACCATCCAGACGCCAGAAGAGGAGGTAGTTACCTTCTCTAACTCCAAAAGGTGAAACCTTAACACTTGTATGGCTTGAATCATCTGAAAGGAAACAGGTAAACATCTATTAGCAGCCGGAAACGCACGGGCCTGGGGGAGGGGGCGCGGAGGCTGGGAAACTTATCTTGCTCCCCATTTTTACAAATAGTTGCGATGGCAGCATCTTTAGTATTTCCTACATGTGTGCGTGCGTGTGTTTGGGAGAGAGGTGGGAGGCACGCTGGAGTTGGAGGGACTGCAAAAATAGGCAAAAATCGTTACTGTTTGCTCCTAAACCCACGCCCCCCCCATACCGCTCCTCATGCCCCACTCGCCCACCCCCAGCACTCTCCAGCCTACTGAGAGCAAGGCCAAGTCTACATCAACCGCACAGGCATGGAACTCGGCCGACTAATGCACGCAAACACTTCCCTTTCTTTGAGACCGCCTAGAAATGCTGTAAACTTCTTTCCAACCTTTTATTTTAAAAGAAAAGTAGAAAGAAGTCATTTGTGGGGGGTGGGGAGGGGGTGGCGAGGGGAAGGGGGTCAAAAAGATCTAGCACTTAAAAAAAATTAGAGCGACTCCTTAAATTCATTAGGCCGGATTACTCCCAGCCACCAGAACCCACCCCGCCTCCCCACACACACACACACACCAACCCTTGTCTCTTCCTTCTCTCGTCCCTCTCCGTCCACCCCAGGCAACTTGGGAGACAGAACAGAACTCCGAACCTTAACGCACCGTTGCCGCGACCCAAAATTTCACTACCCAGGCCAAAAAGCGAAAATTAAATGAAATACATATATATAAAAGAATCACGCATCGTCTTCAGTGGAGTGACAGCCACACAATAACTGAGTTGTGATGGTTATCGCTCCTGACAGTCATTGCTATCAGAAAATCAAAAAAACGCAGATTTGCAATGGATTGTAACGATCGCTTTTTTTCTCTCCTTTCTCTCTCTCACTGCTTTCCCCCAAATATGCGGCTACGCTAAACTGACAATAGATGCCGTCCCATCTCCCAAGAAGTCCTGACAATTTGCCACTATAAATATATATTTGCTTTGGTTCAGTGGAAACGCTTTTACGAGTTTCTCTACAGCGACTTCCCTCTACTGAACAGGCGGTCAGGCTTACCAAATTATCCAGCTCAGGATTGGAGGAAAATAGAGGTTTTTCTGCTCGGACCTAGAGTGAGAAGAGAAATACAATGGTGACTTCTCCCCCCGCTCCCGCTCTTCACAGTCGATACATCCAACTAGATTTGCAAACTTCCAAAAAATCTACTTTAACATCACACATTAGCGACAAGGAAACTTTACTCAGTCTTCGCCCAACAGATAGCAAATTACTTCATTTCTAAAGGAACACTTTATAAGGCAATAACAACTTCTTTCAAACAAGTTAAAAATAAAATAATATCCACAATTAAACTGACTGCGTTTTCACTGGTAACACCAACGTGATCCATAAATAAAATGCTCCGATTGTGATCGGTCTATACGATTACCCCAATTCGTTGAAAAGCATTTTGACACCGTTTCAATTTTGATGCTATTAACATTTTCAGTTCTGTTTAACGGCACAACAAGCGCTCTGTGTAAATTTGTGCTAAACTCTGCTGCAGACCAAGGAAAACCCGAGTCTAGTCACTGAAACTATTGCAACTTTCAAAAATAAAACCAAGGTTTTTAAGATTGAAGGTGGCGATGGCGTGTTTTCTGACCTGCTTAGCGAAAACTGCTATGTCTTCATTGAAAGATTCTGACGAACAGACATCACCACCAGCTACCCCCGGTTCGCGAGGAGTACAAGTTGCTAATTCACATTTCTCAAAAATCAGTGCTAGAAGTGGGAACAGCGGATGTCTGCAAGAAAGGAGCGAATGTCAAAAAAAAACACACAGAAACGAAAGGGAGATTCTCTTTTGAGTGATCCAGCCGCTACAGTTTGAACTTCTTTATAACGTACTTGTTGACTGCAGGCTCTACATAAATTACTGGCCGTAAACGTACTGTACTGACTGGTAAAACATCGCGGTCGCTTCTAACGACTGGAAATCTCAGCAATCCTCTCTCCCTACCGAGCAAGCCAGAATTTAAGAGCGAAATGGCCCTGAAATAACCTTTTAAGCAGCCATTTTGGACGGCAATTTTTCTTTTTCGAAAATAATATTTATAAAAAATATCCGGCAACATGATGTGTGCGCCCCTGAGTTCTCATGTTATTTACAATCGCAAATGAAATTTAACTCGCTCCAAGATCGCTTCCACAGAATGGCAATTTCAATCACAAGCCGAGGCGAAACTTTGGTGCTTTTTTTTCCGTGTGTTTGGCATTTTGTTGGAGAATTTCAATGAAAAACTAACGTGTCACGTGTAGCGTCCCCGCCGCAGATCACAGAATAACGTTGAGGAACTCATGGTCAAAACGTGTCAGCTACCTACCCGTAAATCGAGTCCTTATCTCTCTTCAATGCATCGTTTACCGAGGAGCCCATGTTCGGTGGTATGGTATTAGCGTGGTTAGTGTGCGGATATTGGTGGCTGTGTAGCGATGGCCCGTGGTTTAGATGGTGCACAGGTTGGAGAGACCTGGGGGCGTGAGGGTCACCGTACATTGTTGTCGGTATCCCGACTCCGTCCATACCCCCGTAATGTGAGATTTCGTCATACTGCCCAACACACACAGAAAAAGAGAGACAGAGAGAAAGCACCATTAAGAAAACGGGGAAGAAATCCGTGTGTCAACAAAGTTACAGGCACAAAGCGCACATTTGCAAATCGACAAAGTTCCTGACAGAACAGAGGCGAGAGAAAATATAACCACACAAACACAAAATTTAAAAAAAAAGTTTTCACAGGCACCTGAAAGTACCGCGCTGTCTGCAAAAGCGTCGCGTTTAGCACTCGTGTGAGAAGATAGACCAGTTCAAAAAGTACTCACCCTTTGCGCCATCGGCCTCTGTCTCTCTGTAGCAGCTTCTGTTAGAGTCTGGAAAAGGCCAGTACCAGGCAAAAACACACAGTCCAAAGCCAGATCAAGATCCCTCAAAGTGCCTTATGCAGATGACCAGCTCTCTCTTTCTCTGTGAGTCTCTCTCTCTCTCACTCCCCCCTCCCTCCCCACCCACCCCCCCCTCCCCACAAAAGTCTTCAGGTTAACTTGGATACACCTCCGGGAAAGATATTGCTGATCCTCTGGCTTGCAAACCAAGAAATAAGCGATGTGGAAATATTAGTCGTCTCCAGTGCAGCACCTGGGAGGATAGAGGGATCTCTCGTTCCCTCCCCCCCCCCCCCCCCCCCCCCCCCCCCCCCCCCCCCCCCGCACCCCCCCACCACCAACACACCCCCCCCTCCACGCCTCCCCCCCCACCCTCCAAGCCAGAGAGAGAGAGAGAGAGAGAGAAAGCGCCCCTCAAACCGAACTGCCGAGCCTCATGGCTCTCTGCCACTCCAGTTGTCAATCAAAGCAAGGCTGTCAAGGTTGTGAATGAATTATCCGCCGTGCACTTCCACTGGGTGTATGTGGGGCGGGGTGGGGGGGGGGGGGTGGGGGGGGGGTGGTAGTGGGATGGGAGGCTGGGGGGGAGATGGAGGACACCCTTGGTAACGGCAGCGAGATCTCCCCGCAGGAGCTCCAGCTCTCTCGATCGCCTCTACTCGTGTGTAAATGAAGCAGCACCAGCGCCTGGGAGAGACCGGTGCTGGGGCTGGGGGGCTGGGGGGGGGGGGGGGGCCGGGGGGGGGGGGGGGGGGGGGTTGTTGGAGGGTGGTTGGTGGGGTGGGAAAGACCAATCTCACTCTCTCCGGAGTTTGGAGCTGTTTAAAAGGGCCCGGCGCCGCTGCTGCTGCCCCCGTGTTGCAAGGGCAGAGGTGGATTTGGGAGAGAATGCTAGAACCCGGAAGCAGTGGTGGCCATAACAGGTCGCGTCTTACACAAGGCGCACTGGACTACCTCATCTCTCTCGCACAGGAGGGGTGGCACAGGCACAGGGAAAGGGGGAGATGCCAGCTCCCGCAAATGTAAAGCTTAACAAGAGGCAGGTACAGCTCGCATACACACACACACAGCCCAGAAGCTGCACATTTTACATTCACAATCCACCCCACAACAACAGCCCCCTCCAAATGCGGGGCTTGGTTTCTGTGTTGACAATTGAAGACAGTGTATCAATTGCGTGTTCACTTTGTAGTGAACTCTTCAGACTGCCCGAGACAAAGCTGCTTTTCCATTATTATGACTCCTGCTCATTCTCCCCACTCTCTCTGTCCCTTTTGCAACTTCCTCAGCTTGAAAAAAACGAGAAAATTCCAAAACATTGACTTTGTCATTCGAACGCAATCGTGCGGGTGACTGGTAATATCTCTCCAAACGGTGGGTGCAGGTTGAGATTGCTGCTGGACCCTTATGCAGTTAAACCACGCCGAGGAATGAAATGTTATATTCAATGGTGTTTGCTGAATGAATGTGGCCAGACTAAGTTCACTTCAAATTCCACCTTTGTCATTCACGTTTGTCCAGATTCTCCCGATAATCAGACTCTGTTTATTGTCCACACCTTATAATATTCGCCCTGGTTTATTTTTGCAGAATTCTCATTCTATCAATGATGGGGATGACTTGAGATTTTTGTAAAGAATAACCCCTTCAATTCATTTGCTCAAATCTGTGATCTTAATTCACGTTTCTCGCTTTTGTCACTTCCCATTAGGAATTATTACTTCTGGAAGTCAAAGTGAATTTCACAATTTAACGCACGCCCTGCTGTTGTTAACTGTTACTTTTTATAGAGGTGGACCCCCCCTCAAGCTGTATAAAGTTGTGGTCACTTATTGTTTTTTTCTCTCTCTCCCACTCCCCTGTTTTCTCGGGAAAATGGGACAGCCCGGAGCTCTGTGGGCTCTGGATCTGGAGCCAACGCCCAATCAGAACGTGCCGTGGGAAGTCCCCGCTCTGATTGGCTGCCCAGGTGATCAATTAGAGCAGGCTGCTCGGCTCTCTGAGGGGATTGGTTCAGTCTGATGCATGGGGAGGTGGATCCACAGTGTAGCAGTGAGTGAGTGAGTGAGTGAGTGCCACCAGCTTCACACTGTCCAAAAAAAAATAACCCTCTCAGGGTCTTCTGAGTAAATCCCCCCCAGACTCCTCACTAAATCCACGAGAATAACTTAATGCTTAAAAAAAGGGGCTTTTTATTGTTCTTTGAAAGTGTTACACGTTGAATTTTTTTAAACGTCTTTTAAACTTTGTCCAAAAAACTGCTTTTTTTTGGGAGGGAGGAGGGGAAACCCCACTCATAAATACAATAACATACCTTTATCAGACCCAGAGTCCTCGCTTCAAGTTGCAAGGGTTAATTTCCCCTTTTTTTTTGAACATCTAAATGTTTCGCCCGTAAACAATCCGCTCTGGGACATTGAAACATCCAGTGGTGGCTTCTTTTGAGTTAGAAACAGAAAGTCAGAAAAAGACACCATTTGTTTTAAAAACAAAAATCACAGAATCAAAATCTGATTCCTGCCAACGACACAGCTCCGACGGACACCCTCACAGAGATCGGAAAATGATTCCAGATTCAAGCTGGGCACCCACAGGTATATATATATATATTTTAAAAATCGAGTGTTTCAGGTAAGAAACTGTTTTTTCTTGCGGTTCTTAAGGAGACTTAACGTAATTGATTGCGATTGAAAAATTTCAAAACGTTATATTTTAAATTTACAAATCTCATTCGAATGGTGACCAGTCTCCTAACCCTTCCCCCAGATATTGGTATATATCCAATTTTACAGGCCAAACTTAAACGATATGATTTTGTTTAGCCAAACCTCATTTGGAAACCGTTTGCTTTTACAGTCAGTAAACAGTCATTAAGATCAGAACTTGAGGAGCAGAACGGGTTCCGATCTAAACACCGAGTAGGCAAAATAAAAACCTGTTATTATGAAAGGACAAGCCTATTAAAAAGGCGAAATAAAAGATTCTGCAACTAAGATTTTAACTCAAGGCATTTTCAAAGTCCCATCTCTGTTATACACTATCTGCCAGACCAGTCCACAAACTTTTAATTGGAGAATCACTTCTGTCTTTTTAATCGTCAAATTCGAACTGTAAGTAGGAGAGAAGCCGCCGAGAGCTGAAAAAGCGGAGTGCACATTGTTCAAAACACCTCTCCATTTATACAATTGCAACCACGGGAATAGAGGCCAGCCAATTAAACCACAACTGAAAAGAAGTGGATATTAAGGAACACGTTTAAATACACCTCTTTCCGATCTAACATAGCTTCTGAACACGGAGACTTCAGTTAAGATGTGTACAATATTTAATTTGTCTTTAATGTCCATTCGTAACGTGACTTCAGCATTTAGCAGATAGTCGTATCCTTATTAAATCTATCACTGCCTAGTTGCACATGTTTATATTTTATGTTTGTGTGTGTTTAGGTCGTTAAAACTTAACTTGTTTTTGTTAACCTATATGTAGAATTGGAAACAGCGTTTTATTTTCTTAAAATCGCTTTCTCTTCAGAACACATACAATTAAAAAAAAAATCTTTGGTGGAAGCCATCACCCAGGCGATGAAAAAGAAGAACTATGAATTCGGGAATGGGCAGTTTGGGAATTTAATTATGAATCATCTGTGCTAAATAAAAATCATCGCCAAATGCTGAGTTTTCATTTGGTGTTTTGAGTTCCAAAGAGGCGGATAGTCGAGTATTTTTATTCTCCCTGTCTAATTGTATCTCCGGGATATTGGGAGTTGGTTGAGCTGTTGTTTTAACATGCAGTGTGCTGCCTGTCTCCCCATACGGCGAACTGCAATGGGGTTGGAGGGGTGGGGGGAGTCATCCCTGATCCCGAGCAATGAACAGTAGGGCAGATGTCCACTCGCCTCTCCGTCCCACCGTTCTTGTGCTCTTTGATGTACCACCACTGGTTCTCTCCACCCTGGGGTCAATCTGCAATCTGCGACTGTTGCTGACAATCCAGGAAAAGGGAGTTGGGGAGGGATGGGGGTGGCGGGAATCTGACCATTAGGAGGAAAGGGGGAGACAGCTACAGAAGGAGTAAAGATGATCAAGGTCATTAGTTCAGGAATAATCGGCCAATTCTTAAACATTTTACCCTGTCTTTTTTTTAACATATATGGCCAAAGTACAAATCCATAAAGGATCGCTTTATTCCTGATCAATTTAAAACACTGACCCAATTGTAGCTATCAAAAAACATCGCCACAAAGTTAGATTCACCGTAAATGCTCTTCTAAATAAGTTGACAATGACACGCCTCGCGAAATGACAGTACAAACTCACCACAATCTATTTTGTTTTGGATGTGAGAGCTGTTTGCAAGAGCCTTCTCTCGTTATTTGTCTATTTGCAAGTTGCTTTTTCGAGAGACGGGTGAGTGGTCTAGATGTTTATTGATGGGTTCAGAGAGGGGGGTGGGGATGGGGCGAGGGGTGGGGGAGAGGTGAAATGCCTCTTTGAACAGTGAGCTGCCTTGTCCACTCCCTGTGTCATCCAGAGGTCGTCCTGGGTAACAAGGCGCTAGCACAATTCCACACTCCTAGCCCAAAAATACTTCCAGCAACCCGGCAGCGAGATAGATTCCCTGCACAGTGAGCATCGAGGGGGAGGAGAAGGGGCAGGGAAAATAATCCAAAGGCTTTTGTTTCAGAAAAATAAAACAAATCGAGACTCTGTAATCAAGGAATCAAAGCAAAAGGGGAGGGAAAGGCTGCTGTATTTTAAGAGAAAAGAAAATGCCAGTTTACATTTTGACCCGGTTTGCGTTCCCCTTTGGCTGTGAGGCGCTAGCTAGCCCTGGGTGAATTTATCCTCACAAAGTTGTGAACGTAATTAAGTGACATTGAGGCGTGAATGATATTTATAATACATCCGTGAGCACAGCGAGAACTTTTGTTATTGAAATTCCCTGCTTCATTTCGAAGTAAACATAACTGGACGAAGACAAGCCAAAAAGCAACGTTAAGACATGTGAGGGGAGATTGTCTGAGCAAGATAGTTAATGAAGCAATATTTTCAGCACTGAGAGATCTCTGTAGAATGTGGCACAGGCTGAACGTATTAAAAGTCATCACTGTCTCTGCACAGCAATATTTTACCTTGTAACACGTTTATATTTTGCAAAGCCCAATGCGCTTGTTGTGTGTCACTGTGGGAGCATTGCTGATTTTTTTCTCTCTCTCTTTTAAGAAGCTCATTTTAGGAAAGGTATCAGACAATTTCTCCGCCCCCACCTCCCCCAGATATTTTACCCTTCCTCATTAA